CACCCAAGCTTAAATCTAGCTATTAATGTCAGGCTGAAGAGTAGAATTAATAGCTTGATAGATATTTTTATTACAAAGATAATTCTCCATTATTTAAAAATATGAGACCAAATCCTTGAAGTTTAAATAGTTTTAATCTGATAGTAGTGCTTTGTGTGACACTGTATGTGGAATAGAATGACTTCAATTGTTTACTTACCACAGAAATATTTAGTAATATGCGATCGACAACCTTGATCTGGTGGTGTTGGTTCAGCTTCGAGAGATTCAATGGAACAATGAGTAACACCAGATTTTGCTGAATCATCATTGTCTGATTCATCCAATTTAAAATTACGTATGTGTTGTTCAAGCTTTTCTTTAAAAACTTCAGGTGCTTCAATTTTTTGAACATGTGACACATATGATTCTAAAAAGAAAACAAATAACGAAAATATAAAAACAAGCGTCATCAGCAGATATAATTTAGAGCCTATCTGTATGTCTCAATAGCTAAATTAGGCAAGAAATTTTCATTAATTCCGATAATTTTTATCGTAAATTTCAACCTTCACTCATTAAGTTTTACATTGACGTCGCTTGGTGTTTATCTAGATCTAGAGTCGAGTCATCACGAAAACAGTAAAGGAAATCAAATTCAAAATGAATGATATGGTTTGATTTATTTTATGTAGTCTAAAGCATACGTATGCATTATGCAAATTCATCGGAGCTACTTCTCTTATTAAAAAGTAAATCATATAAGTTAGTTAACGTAGGAACATAAATGTTTCTGTTGACAGTAATAAAAAGATGAAAGAATAAGTGGCTTACCAATTATTTCTTCATTAGAAGTAATATTAGTGTTTGATCTCTGTCTGATTGTTGACGAGGAAGTAGAAGTTGAGTCCGTTGATTGTTTTGATGATGAAGTACTCATTTTCTAAAAGCATTAAGAAATTAATTTGTCATTCATACTGAAAAAAGTCTTCATTGTAACAAAGTTTTTGAAAATTTGAAATCCTTTTTCGGATTCAAAAATCAGGCATTTTAATAGATAGAGTTGTATATCTAAATTCTTTAGTGTGTCTCATTAATAAAAATCGATTTTCCTTCTTCTTTTAATTGATTCTAATTATACAATTTACTTGCTGTAAATCTTTGTTCGTCACTTGTTCAATTTCAGCTCGTTACGCATTGGTTCTTCTCGTTTAGCGAACGACGCGATGACTTTAATATGAAAAGAATTGTAGGTGTCACTAGATATCGATTAAGTGACATCGGTGAAAAGAAAACGTCTACGCTATTTTACTAGAACCGTCATATTGCTTCCAGTGAAAAACATGCCTAAATATTTGGGTTTATGATATACCCAATAGTTGTAAACGCTATACCTCAGATTAAGTTAAATATCTCAAGTATTGTTTTCAACCTTTCTTTCATTCTTCAGGAAAATAGTCCAATATCAGGTGTTCACTATGAATGTAGAAATGGAAACTCTTTATGCAAAATGGAGAAGATTTATCAACAAAAATTATTTGTTGTCTATACCTCTCTCTCTTTTAATCTATGTATTCCAAAATATCCTGCTTGTTTCCTGTTCACCACTTTGTCTCTTAGTTCTTTTAGGACGAATATTTTACAGCTAGAGGAAATCGAGGATCGATAAACAAAATGTCTCTAATAATATGTGATCAAAGAGAACTGTTTTGGATGGCATACTTCGATTGCCTGTTGTTGGGAGATTGTACGAGTTTCAATATCCTCAGTTGGTCTCCAAACAGGTATAGGCATTCTCAGTAGTACAAATACAATGGTCGATCAAACAGCTATGCACATCTTAGCACATGCATCAGGAGAATTCTCTGTTGCGTATGCATTGCCTTGGTTGGAACGAAGACGACATTGACAAAAGCATTCATTTAAGTCCATTGATGTGCTTTGAAAGATGATCGCAAGAATTACAACAAACAGAGAAAACAGCTTTTACCGCGAACGATATTCGCTGTTTATGCACGATTGTAATGAGTTCAAGTAACGATGATGATACTATTTCTACTGCCAGATAAGAAAAGGTCAAGCATGGATGCTGGAAGTAAATGTTCATTTCATTCTAATGTAAGCTAAATAGACATATGTGTTACTTATAAAAATTGTGCTTTAGTTTTTCATAAAAATCCTATGAATAAATTTACATGTAGCTCTTGAAAAATCACCATTTTTCCAGTACAACGTATTAAACGTACAAGATCTAAAAGAAATAATGCGACACATAGTTGGAAATAAATTTTTGCCATTAAAAAAATCACTGAACAAGGAGAGATTATTACGATTTATATACCAGGGATTAATTATGATTTACTAACAATAATGACATTTTAACATATTCATACCAACTCCACATCTGCCATAATATGTTACGTTTCTATATCTCAATATTTTTGGTAACTTTTCAATATGGTTCTTTTTATGTCTTATATAAAGCGTAAATTATAACATTGTTTTGTGCTTTGTTTGTCAAACTTCATGAGTGGTATTGACGAAAATAGAATAAGTAATCATCTGTGTTTTTCCTGATTTCATTTATTAACGATTTTAGATGTGCTAAAAGTGGTACATATTTTTTAAATAAAATTTAATGAAAAAATAAATGCGACTTATCCAAAGTAAATAAAATATCTTTGATACCCGATAATGTCAAGTCAGTTTGATGACTAAACTATAGATAATATTTAAAATAATAGGGAAAAAACGCGATTTATCGTCATAATCGATAAAAGTATTATTAAAAATTGGCAATTGTTCAGCAATTTCGCAGACATAGGTTTGTGTACATCTTTCTTAAAATGTCGTATTAGTTATATGTTATATTTTCATATGTAGAAAATTTCAGAGTATGTTGAAACATAGAAAATTAGATGTATGTACAAAAACAATATTTATTTTGCTGCAAACAGTGTTAGTTTATATGGTGTAAAATCATTAGATGCATTAAATTTTTAAGAAATTGAAAATAATTTAAATCTTTTTATATCATAATTTTATGCTAGTTCATTTTAAATATAAACTTAAATTAAGCAAAGTTACTTTAATTGTTAGTTGAAGGTATCGTGATTTAAATTTAAAACTAAACTAAATTACGAAGTGAAAAAATTTAGCTCCTTTTCAATATAAATAGTTTCCTATTTTTGCAGTAAAAATTTATTTTCTTTTAACGCAATTACTTGTGGGTGGTAATAATCAATACATATTCATCTAAAGATTATAACATTTAAAAAAATTCTTTTGTTTAATGTTGTCTAAATAATCTAGTATTCTGTAAAAGATAATTGTTTACTCATATATGAACTTAAAAAGTCTTGAGTAAAATTGTGTTAGTTTCATCTTAGAATGGTTGTGAACACGTAGAAGTTGATCTCTTGATCATTTGGTTCAATGGTTTAATCGATGGGTCAGTGTAGTGTATGGTATGCATGTGCAAATGTAGCCTGCATCCTTATAACTTTCCATATAGACTAGTCTGGATTCGTCCACTACATAAGGCTACAACATGTCCTATGTACATTCCTGACATCGCAAAGTTTTCAATTTTAGATTATTTGCGGGCAGTTGACCCCGTTCCGAATAGTGTTTATCTCAAAAAGTCCTCGACCATGACTAGTCCGAACGTCTACAATGTACCTTCCTATTGATTTAGTAGTTCATAGTGAAGAACCGATCGACATGACTAGAAAAAAAACTAGCAATTTAATCTGTGCTTTGCTAACTTGCTATGCTTCGAAGGCTTTTATAAGTATGTTTTCCGATCATACCATCACAAGTTTCATCTCATTCTTTGCTGCGAAGAAAATATTAATTCATATATTGTGAAATTCGTTCAGTCACAGGGCTTCTGTGTAACTTTAATGGATGCACTATGTAATAATACCAGAAAAAAACGGCAGTGTCATCGAGGGACTCCATATGAAATTAGAAACTACGCCAGAGATAGAGACTATTGGAAGACTTCAAAATTCAGATAATGACATGCATATACATGCATCGAATGGCCATTGACATACAAAGAAACAATCAAACAGTATCTCACTCAACATCCATTTCGACTCTTTTATATTCATCATAGCAATAGTTTGACTGAAGACAATGTCGTTCAATGTAGAATCTCGGTCTAGATACACAGCCGGGAATTCTTTCACCAGAATCCGCTGTTACACCAGAAAATTTACAATCTACAAACAGTCTCAAGGTAAAATATTTGTTTTTTGACAAACATTTTATTGGTACTTCACCAAATTAAACTTCTCAATACAATACTGAAATGTTTTCTATGTTTGCTCAATTTACGAATGTTTTTGTAAGCCTGCTCTGATTTGTAATCTACATTAATGTGTTATTACTTTCAAAGTGTCCGTATCGAGTCGATAGATGTTCTCAAATAGTAGACAATATCAAGATTCGAATAACTTACTGACAGTCGGAAATACTTCAAGAGGATAGTTAGAAAAAGCACTCAGATCTCAGAGTCGACTGACAAAAAATTTGTAGTCAAGATACTTTGGGATTGATTTTTGTCAGATATCTCTTCGAGCATATATGCACAGAGGAATCTATAATTAAAGTCCCGTTTACGATACGATAGTCTTATACACCTTCGATCACTTTTATTTGGAAGTGGACATCATCACTACTTTTGTCAACGCTCGTTATGACTCTATCGACGAGCTTCGTCATGGGCGTCCATACTAGTGGACCTAATCTCTACAATGGGGTGAGTTGTTGTTTGAATCTTTTTAAAATTCTGTTTATGTACTAATCATGTTTTCAGTTCATTATTCCATGGTTACAAGGTTATCCATTTCCTTGTCAATAAGACGACATTACAGCTAGATGGATAGCACGTGTGTGGTGGAATTGCAATTACGTCAATATTTCGTTGTATAACAAAAACAAAACAGGTTACTATTATTTACCTGCTGTTTCAATCGAATATCAGTTCACTCAAAATTTTGTCGATTCTCTTCACGGTATCATCTGGGTTATAGGGGCTGTAGTTGGCAGTTTTACTGCACAATTTTGGTGTTCATTTTTGACAAGGTTAACACTTATTACAACATAATTGTTCAAACCTTTGATTTATTCATTTTATTTGTAGACGAAACACAATTTTTATCAATATTCTTTTGCAAGTGATTGGATCGGCTTTGAGAATTATTCGTTTTGAAATCTATCACGGTTACGACCGTGGTGAACCGAGTCTAATTTCAGTCAGAGATGCTCTTCAAAACAAAGATGTGGCTATTATCCTTTTCTACATATCCCGTTTTCTTTCTGGTTGGGCTGCGGGTAAGGAACAGTGTCCCGTTGATGCATCATGATTCAGTTCACTAATATCATTATTCATTCAATCACAATAATCTATTTTCGAGCAGAGAAAAAAATCTATTGACACTCTCTCGAACGATCTCATCATAATCGGATTGAAAGGTAGAAAACTGATGGTATTACATTCTATAAGAAAATTTCGTGCACTTGTAGAATAAGTTAGAAAGTGAGCTCATTGAGAACGTTTCAATTAAAAGAGAATCAATTGACTGAAATTTCTTGTTGTTGAATAAGCATCAACTATTTTGGGATATCACATGTAAGAGAAGAATTGAATGTTCTAATCTTTGATGTGTTAGGAATGAGCTGCGTGGCAACAACAGTCCATCTAATTGAAATCAGTCCTCGAATGATGCGTGGCAAAGTAGTGACATATCATCAATTGTTCACCGTCATTGGCATTCTCGTGTGACAGATTGTGAGTTTTCCTTGGCTACTTGGTCAACACAAGTGAGTTTTGTGATTTAGGTAAGAATAAGTTTCACCTCGTATTTTAGTACATGGAATTGGGGTATGGCATGATGGGTAGGTATCTTTTTGTTAGTTGGATGTTTTTTTATTTGAAAGTTACCAGAAAGTCCACGATGGCTTGTGCAAGAGCGTATGCTAGTCGAAGCCTTTCAATCGTTACAAACTCTTCGTAAGACCAACGAAGCCCATGCAGAGCTCATCGAAATCGAAAGAGAAAAAGCAACAGTGAATATTCAAGATATCTCATTGGTTCGATTGTTTACTTTGTCTCGATTTCGTTGGCCACTAATAACCAGTGTAATTCTCAGCGCTGCTGCACAATTTTCTAGAATCAACTCGGTGAATACTGTGCAAGACGAAAATTTCAAAAAAAATGATGGAAGCTTTATTGATTTTTAGGTGTATTTTTCTATTCGAATGAAACATTTTCGAGCATGGGTTTTGTCGAGGACAAAGTGTATTGAAGTACTTTGGCTACAGGTCTCTCCAATTTGATTGTAACGGTTGTATTAATCAGACTAATTGAGTCATATGGTCGACGTCCTCTAATTCTTTATCCACTTATATTAATTTTCATTATTATCGTGTTGCTGTGCGCATTGATTCAAGTCAATCCTAGTATGATTTCTCTTTTTCGAGTTTGATATTTACAACTATTTTCACATGTTCTATTCTAGAAGGATCGGCAGTCAGAATTCTTTTTCTCACGTTATTCTTCATTGTTTTGTTTTCTATTGGACTCGGCCCACTACTATACATATATCCGAATGAGGCGTTCACGATTGCAGTACGACCTATAGGTCCATCTGTTGCGATTCTATCTGGGGTGGGTGTGGGTGTGGGTGTGGGTGTGTGGGTGTGGGTGTGGGTGTGGGTGTGGGTGTGGGTGTGTGGGTGTGGGTGTGGGTGAGGGTG